GATAACTTTAGATGGGACATGCCTTATGAGCAGACTGACCGAGTTTGAAGCCGATCAATCGAAATCCCTAGGAGGAGTTCGATCAAATACAGAGGCTTTAAACGGCAAAAATGGAGTCAAAATCTGAACTTCAATCTAAAATGGCCGACTTCCTGTGGGGTTTAGACCATGGCTCCAAGAGACTTTTTTGTAAGTCCTGACATGGTACACACGTGTACAAAGTTTCGTAATTGTAGGTTAAAGCATGGCTTGGGGCTGATCATTTAAAATTTTCTAGGGGGCGCTATAGATAAATTAGGCCACACCCTACAAATATTGTGATGGATTCCTGTCGGGGAGTGGATGATAATCCATCCTTGTGAGTTTGGAGCAGCTGTGGCCAAAAATGTGGAATTGAGAGCCAAACGTATGGCGATGGCGTTACAGGTCACTTCGCCACGCCGCCACGCCCAGCTGCTCAATCGAAGCTGGTCGGGGTTGGAATCGTCAACACACCCATGTCTTCTGTGTCTGGGCACAGTTTCATGTTGATGAGGTCAAAGGGGTCAGATAGCGACCGTCCACAGTAAAACATTACACTTCCTGTTCACATGGGGCGTGGCCTACGTGATGTCATCCTTCGACCATAGGGTATTGTGTAGACCCGATGATGATCAATCACAGAAACTTTGGTGCCTCTGTGAGTTTCTGTGTAGGAGATATAGCAGTTTATTTTTTTATGGCGAGTAGGTGAACTTTGACCCCTGCTAACCCCCCTTCAGCATACTCAAAAACTCACCGTTTTGATAACTTTAGATGGGACATGCCTTATGAACAGACTGACTGAGTTTGAAGCCGATCAATCGAAATCCCTAGGAGGAGTTCGATCAAATACGGAGGCTGTAAACGGCAAAAATGGCCTCAAAATTGGACCTTCAATCCAAAATGGCTGACTTCCTGTGATACTTGCACTATGACATTAATTGTAAATTTTGAGCATCTTGGGGAGCTCTACAAGTGTACCAAATTTCATGTCTCTAGGATAAATTAAGTGAATAGCAAAGGGTCCTTTGAAAATTTGTAGGTGGCGCTATTGAGCCATTTTTTATGGGATTTTTGCAAAGACCTTAAAATACAAAATTTTGAAACTCCCTTTACGCGTCCGCCAAGTTTGGTGAGTTTTTGAAAATGATAAAGCCCCCAAAAAGGCCCCTCTTTAGGGGGGCAGAATAATAATAATAATAAGAAACAGTAGGAAAACAATAGGCCTTCGCAGCGCTTAGCTGCTCGGGCCTAATAAGAAACAGTAGGAAAACAATAGGCCTTCGCAGCGCTTAGCTGCTCGGGCCTAATAATAAGAAACAGTACAGAAACAATAGGCCTTCGCAGCGCTTAGCTGCTCGGGCCTAATAAGAAACAGTACAGAAACAATAGGCCTTCGCAGCGCTTAGCTGCTCGGGCCTAAAAAACCCATTAAAAGTAAAAAGGACAGTGCAAGGACCAGAATGTGGAAGGTAGTGGAGTTTATTGTGAATCAAGAATAAACAGAACTCTCAGTCATTTCTGCAGAACAAAAACCGTCTCACTGAAAAACAATAAAACATAAGTTTCTTCATCATATCAAACAGGAATATTTACAACACGTACAAATATTGTACACAAAATGGCTGCTGGTAGAGTAACGGTGCGAGAGGAGAGAAGTGCAAAAAGTCAGCGTCAAAGTGCTGCCTGGTACATGTTAGTGTCGTAGAAAACCTCCTGAGGAAGAAGATGCCCCGTAGTTTGAACAATTTTATGCCTCTGAGAAGGATAATATTTGTCAACTTTCAGTCTGAGTAGGTGAGATTTCTGGTAAACGTCAACTCCACTTCCATGTCACTTTAAATGACAAAACTTTACACATCTCTAAATGTTGCTGATGTTTAAATCGATGTGACATTTGCCAGACATTCATAAATCAAGTAACACAGAGAGATTAATACTGAACAAGAAAGTTTTCACTCACCGATACACGTTTTAAAAGTTAAAATCTACACATTCTACAATCCAGTTGAACATATTTGAGTTTCGCAGGATTTTTAAAATGTGAAATAAAACAACAACAGTGTTGTTGTTATAAACTTAGAAAGTAAACCAAATTAAAGCTGCAAGCAGCCTCGAACGGCCCTCGCAGCCAAGCGCCGCTCCGGCCTATTGCCACCGCGGGGTATGAGCAACCGCCGCCTCACGCCAGCCACCACAGAAGCTCTCACGCAGTTTTCAGCGCCTCCGCCCGCACCGCGGAAGCTGTTGCTCAGTTTAAACTTCTCCAACTCCGGTCCAACAGAGCCTTCTTGCTCAAAAGCGTGGTTTGGATTTGCAACTCCAAAATCCAAGCAAAATGTTGAGCGTAGTCCAGTTCTGTGGCTCCAAAAAGCAGGCAAAATGTTCAGGAAAACTTCGCAGCTCCAGCTGTCGCCGGCTGACTGTTATTACGTAGCGTCGATCTGTTTTCTCATTGATGGAGTACCACTGCCTCCTGCTGGGGCAATACTGGTATTGCACTAGCAGTACCAGTATTTCTCCACAAGGTGCCAGTAGTACTCCATCAACACTGACCCCAGTGTGTTCTTACTTCGCTGTCATAAGTTTTGCTGAATGACTTTGTTTGTATTATTTCTAGCAAAAATGAATGAATGTTTGTACTTTAACCCACAAAATAAACTTATATATATATAAAAAGTTATAATAATGTATATTTAAATAATTAATAACAACATAACCTATGGGCTGCTGTTTTCTAGGGGGCGCTATAGAGAAATTAGGCCACGCCCACCAAATATTGTGATGGATTCCTGTCGGGGAGTTGATGGGAATCCATCCTTGTGAGTTTGGAGCAGGTGGGCCCAGAAATGTGGAATTGAGAGCCAAACGTATGGCGATGGCGTTACAGGTCACTTCGCCACGCCGCCACGCCCACCTGCTCCATCGTAGCTGGTCGGGTTGAAATCCTCAACACACAACATGTCTTCTGTGTCTGGGCACAGTTTCATGTTGATGAGGTCAAAGGGGTGAGATAGCGACCGTTCAGAGTAAAACATGACACTTCCTTTTCTCAGGGGGCGTGGCCTAAGTGATGTCATCATTCGACCATAGGGTATTGTAGGACACCCGATGATGATCAATCACAGAAAGTCTGGTGCCTCTGTGAGTTTCTGTGTAGGAGATATAGCAGTTTATTTTTTTACGGCGAGTAGGTGAACTTTGACCCCTGCTAACCCCCCTTCAGCATTCTCAAAAACTCACCGTTTTGATAACTTTAGATGGGACATGCCTTATGAGCAGACTGACCGAGTTTGAAGCCGATCAATCGAAATCCCTAGGAGGAGTTCGATCAAATAGGAAGGCTGTAAACGGCAAAAATGGGATCAAAATTTGAACTTCAATCTAAAATGGCTGACTTCCTCTGGGGTTTAGACCGTGGCTCCAAGAGACTTTTTTGTAAGTCCTGACATGGTACACACGTGTACAAAGTTTCGTAGTTGTAGGTTAAAGCATGGCTTGGGCTGATCATTGAAAATTTTCTAGGGGGCGCTATAGAGAAATTAGGCCACACCCTGCAAATATTGTGATGGATTCCTGTCGGGGAGTGGATGAAGATCCATCTTTGTGAGTTTGGAGCAGCTGCGCCCAAAAATGTGGAATTGAGAGCCAAACGTATGGCTATGGCGTTACGGGTCACTTCGCCACGCCGCCACGCCCAGCTGCTCCATCGAAGCTGGTCGGGGTTGGAATCCTCAACACACCAACATGTTTTCTGTGTCTGGGCACAGTTTCATGTTGATGAGGTCAAAGGGGTCAGATAGCGACAGTTCACAGTAAAACATGACACTTCCTGTTCTCAGGGGGCGTGGCCTAAGTGATGTCATCATTCGACCATATGGTATTGTAGGGCAGCGGATGATGATCAATCACAGTAACTTTGGTGCCTCTGTGAGTTTCTTTGTAGGAGATATAGCAGTTTATTTATTTACGGCGAGTAGGTGAACTTTGACCCCTGCTAACCCCCCTTCAGCATACTCAAAAACTCACCGTTTTGATAACTTTAGATGGGACATGCCTTATGAACAGACTGACCGAGTTTGAAGCCGGTCAATGGAAATCCCTAGGAGGAGTTCGATCAAATACGGAGGCTGTAAACGGCAAAAATGGGCTCAAAATTGGACCTTCAATCCAAAATGGCCGACTTCCTGTGATACTTGCACTATGACATTAATTGTAAATTTTGAGCATCTTGGGGAGCTCTACAAGTGTACCAAATTTCATGTCTCTACGATGAAGAAAGTGAATAGCAAAGGGTCCTTTGAAAATTTCTAGGTGGCGCTATTGAGCCATTTCTTATGGGATTTTTGCGATGACCTTAAAATACAAAATTTTGAAACTCCCTTTACGGGTCTGCCAAGTTTGGTGAGTTTTTGAATATGATAAAGCCCCCAAAAAGCCAATTCATTTGGGTGGAAGAATAATAATAATAATAATAATAATAAGAAACAGTACAGAAACAATAGGCCTTCGCAGCGCTTAGCTGCTCGGGCCTAATGAGAAATAATTTACATTTAAATAACTTGAAATAATTTAAAAATCGGTCGTATTTTTAAACCAACATTCCTGTTAATGCACAATTAGAAAATTGTTTAAAAAACTGAATCAATTCTGAATTTAAAAAATGGGAGATTAGTTTCACACTCAATGCATGGTTAGCCCAAAAACTCACTTTAACTGTTTACATCAGTGCTTTACACGCTGCAGTGTCACTGTGTTGAGGTTTAACTGCGAATGTGACGTTTGAACAAGTGAAAAGGTTTCTGTGCACAAACATAAATGAAGCGTTGAAGCATTTAGAGTTAAACTTCTGGATGATCATCAAGTAGAATAAAGTTCTGCGTCCACAGTACGTTGCAGAAGCCAGAATTATTAAATTGTTTAGCTCTTACCTGACTCGTCAAAGTAAGCAAAGCACTAACGTGAGAAGAAAAAAAATATATGTATATATTATTTTTAATGGTTAGTTGTAATTTTGGTGATTACAGGGGAGATGTACACATCTCATTTTAACAGTAGGCATCATTACAGAGGAAATGGCTAAAAAGGCGAAAATGACAGAATAAGTGGGACGCAACTTATACAGAATAAAATGTACGTTTTTATGATTTCTTTTTTGACAAACGTAGGTTTTTATATGATCAAGCTTAGCTTTTCTTCTTACAGTTAAAAGAGTTTATGGGATATCGTGAGAAAGCTGTAAATGACTAAGAATCACAAACAGATTCTAAAAAAAATGCAAAGTCATGAAAAAAAGAAAATATGTAAGGGAAAGTCCTTTTTGATTTTGTATTGGAATCAAAATAAATAAATTGTTTTTACAATTAGATCATTTTGAACTTTGATGGCATTTTGAGAATATTTCACGTTAAAAAAATTTAGATTTTTATATTTTATATTTAAATGTTACTAAATAGTCACTAATGCCACGCTATATTACATTACAGACTCGAACAGATTCCCTGACATTGTCTTTAAACTCATCACGATGAATGAGCAGAAGAAGAAGCTGTTCAGTAATTTGCCACCAACTTCTCTGGTCAGAGGTTCAACTTGACGCGTCCTCCCGTTTCTTCTCTTCACACATTGCTTCATACTCAGCCACGTCCCGTCCACAGCCGTTGGTGCGTCCGCTGCCGTTAGGATATTTTGCAGCTGTTTCTGCAGCCCTGCGTTGTCGGGCTGAGCGGCGGCGGTCGGATCAGTTTTGGCTTTTTAAGAAGCGTTCCTCCACTCCTCTTGGCGGCGCTGTGGTGAGCGGCGGCGGTGACGGAGTAGGAGCGTCCGTGCATCATGCGAGCGTTGAGACCGTTGGCCATGGAGAAGGACTTGAGGTGGGACTTGAGGGTGTGGGGCAGGGGCAGCTTGTCCACAAGGTGGACAGGCGTGCAGGAGACAATGGAGCGGCAGCAGAGGTCCTGAAGACTCAGCACTGACCCAGAGACAACAACAAAACGTTAAGTTTTAAAACTCATTTTAAATCAGTCCTCATTTTTGCAACAACGTAGGTTGTCCGTTATTCCAGTGGTTATTCCAGCATTGACACTGGTTCTCAAGGAATGTAGTTTGAGATCCCTGCTTTATATCAAATAGTAGTCAACTTGTAATTTTATTGCATGTTTATTTTGATCAAATTTAAGAGCAGATCATCAAAAAAATTCAGGCAATCAATTAGAAAAAAGTGAATTTACGACTGTCACACTTAGATTAAGCCAGAAAACAAGATTAATTAAAACCAATTATCTATAAAATAGTCTGAATAGTCACATTTGTAATAATTAGAAAAAACATTTCAAAATAAATAAAATTACTAGGTTTTTTTTTTTTGAGAATAAACATTTCTTAAAGGTAAAAAACATTTAAAAATCCAAATGTAAGGACTAACGTCATTTCTTAAACAATGAAGCAATCATATCAAAAACAGATGTAACGTAAAAACATGTAATTAATGCTTGAATAATTATTTGAATATAATATTTACTCAAGAAAATCTATCGGGGAAAAAAGCCATCCAATATGAAATGTATGATTTTTTTAGGCGATGTAAAATTGTGTCATAGTTAAAAACAATAAAACTAAAATAGAATAGAGTGTAAGATCTGAAATATGAAACATAATTGTGGAAAGAAAGTAGTAGTAAAAACATTTTTGTAAAAGTAAGAAGATATTTTATGATTCGTAACTATGTTCATGAAGACGAAAGCGAACTTTTCAAGAATATTTTAAATACATCTAAATTACGGTGAAAACATTTTATTCTAATGTCCTTAAAAGCCTGTTATTTTCCTAAGAGACCATCTGTTGTTGTCCAGCACAGAGCAGCTCAAACCTAAACCATAAACTGAATCTCCCCTGAGCCCTGTGTGTGTGTGTGTGTGTGTGTGTGCGTGCGTGCGTGTCTGTGTGTGTGTGGTGACCTTCTGACCTTTGTTGGGCCTCCACAGGCGCTCCATGCCGTGCCTCATGAGGACGATGCGGGCGAGCTCCGTGAACGACTCGGTGATGTTGAAGTTGCAGAGCGGGCTCACCTCAAAGAACGTGACGCCCAGCTTCTCGGCGTACACCTGCGCCTGCTCCATCGTCACCTGACGCTTGTAGGCGAGGTGGAGGCGGTTCCCGACCAGGATCTTGGGCACTCCCGGTGCATGCTGGGTAAAAAAATAAAATAAAAAGAGAGAGCACTGGAGCATGTACAGGGTTTTCAACCAGAATCATGAATTCGCACTGAACCGCGCGCCGTCTGACCTCGTCGATCTCTTTGATCCACCTGTCGATCCCATCGAAGGACCAGCGGTTGGTGATGTCGTACACCAGGATTACTCCCTGCAGAGCGCAAAATGATTTTTTAAGTTCCCACAAAACGTGGCAGAAATGGATAATGAATCCATATGATTCATTTTTAATGAACAGACTTCAAATAACGCTGTGTCAAAATGTTAAATGGCATCATTTCAGATTTGTTTCAATTTGCAGTTGCTGGAGAACAAGCAAATCTGACTCTGAATATTAAAACACTGCTTTGTGTTGCTTTGACTGCATAAATGAAGTGAGACAACCCAGAATCCTCTGCAGGCATCAGAGATAGATAATGTTGCGTGCAAGCAACTAACAGTCATTTACAGCACGCAGCAGCAAGCAAGGCATGATGGGAGCTGCAGTTCAAGGTTTTCTCCGTTTTCTCCACAAACTCCTGGTTCAAGAGCATCCGTTAGCCTCTCCATGGAAACGCTGCCACTGTTGCTATGGCGATATCTGCTCTGTGCCCACTAATAGTCTGATGAGAGATGACGACAGACTGCTTGTGTAAACAGTGTTTGAGGATGAAAAGGTGGCGTATTTTCCTCCCAACTTTCCACCGGGAGACGAATCTCCGAACTGCGGATTTACACTGCAGGGATGGTGAAGAGGCACCGACATCTTTCTTAATGTACAACTATACATAAACTTGGGGTAGATTAGAGTTTCTTCAGGAACATCACTAGATTTGGTTTGTGAGCTCCCAGAAATTTTTAATTCGATCAGATGTGGACTTCCTGAAAATGAGCCCGCCAGAAGCTGCTGTGGATTTGGGTTCGACTCCTTCGAATGTGTTCAAGAATAAATTCCATGATGCGGGACAGAGAAATAATGAAACAGGGTTTCCCCCAGTGTACTATAAGCCTGGCGGGCCACCAGGCTAGGCATTACTTATTTATTTTTAAAATGTTTGCATTGTTAAAGCTTTATAGTTGGTGTTCAGGTATTAATCTGACAATCTTTCAATGACGCATAAGTGATATCTTCAAATTTCCTGTCAACGTCAAACATTTTTTTAACTCAAAGAGACTGTCCTAGCGCTTGGCAGGTTTTCTGGGGGAAACTTTGGTGAAACCTCCACAATCCATACCTGTGCTCCTCTGGAGTAGGATCTGAATATGGTGCAGAACCGACCCTGTCCCGATGTGTCCCTGAAACAAAAACATATATAAGGAGAGAAAAATAACATTCCCCCCCAAACACACAAACATAGAATACACTTTATGGATAAACCTTACAACCTTATCCATGTTTCAATTCCTTCAGCCTGACAGCAGTTGGTTCAGAGCAGTCACCAATCATCTCTATGATGCATTTGGGACATTTGGTTTTCTGACTGGATTCTCTCGGTTCCGACCCAGCTGTTACGTTTCCCCAAGTTCAGACATGCTAGTTTTTACTTGGTACTAAGCGCTCCACAAAGCAGAAACCAGCAGTTGATCCTCAAAGAAACGCTTACATAAACCCAGAGTTTATGGTGTCTTCTGTCAGACCACGTCCAGTCGGGTTGCTGGTTTCTAGGTGGTCCAACACGACCGTGTCATGCATGAATCGACCCGCCCTTCGAAGTGGATACAGCCTCTTACGACAAGTAGCTACACCTGACTTGTCGGATGGCTCTGCAATCGTCTTAATTTTGGAGATCCTCTGAACATGTTTGCTCCTCGGCGGCACATGCTTTCAGGGACAGTGCCACAGGACCAAATCTGGACTCGGTGGAAGCACTAAGGCAAAAGGGAGTTGCTGGCTGAATGTGTTGCTTACTGAAGACCTCGCTATGTTGGATGGCTCTGAGATTTCAGACTTCTGATGTACAAAACCTTATCCTAATGCTGGATTTGTCACTTCTAATCTTCTTACGTCAGAACCAAAACCAGCGAGAAAAACATGTTCGTAATATGACTGCAGAGCAAACTTTAGCTTGTCTCTCGCGCTGGGCCTTGATATAAATACAATTTAAATCAAAGCTGAAGCTTGAGGCTGCGTCACCTGGAAAAAAACCAAAACCAAAACAAAACCAAATCTCTATCAAGTCAAAGCTGCCTCACATGCTTGCTGTTTATTTTTGGACCGAACCAGGACCTCCTCTGCTCTGCTGTTACACAACCTCTCTGCTTGTGGATCGCACGCTGTGAGGACGGCTGCTGAACAACAGCCAGCCGTTCTCCTCGTGTTTTCATACCAGAGCTGCAGCTTGACTCGCCTCCCGTCCAGGAGGATGGTCGTCGTCTTGCAGTCGATTCCTGAAACGCAGCAGGGCAACAGAAAAAAATAAAAAACAAACAATAGTCTCCTCAGTCTTCTTTTCTTTACAAAATTTCTATCTCCTCCGCGTTCACATTTCCAGATTTTGCTTCCCGCACACATTTGAGCTACTGATTTTGTTCTTTCTTTGTTCATATTATTCTTTAGTTGAGCCACTGCATGTTCAAATAATTATTCCCCCAGGGATTGGGATGCTGTGCAGCTGGAAGGATTTTTGCTCAGACCTGACATTGTTAGATTTAAAAAAATAAATAAATAAATTAATTAATCTTGCCCTGTGACAGACGGGCGACCTGTCCAGGGTGAACCCCGCCTCTCACCCGGAACGTTAGCCGGAGAGACACCAGCAGCCCTCCTGACCCCACTAGGGACAAGGGTGTTAGAAAATGGATGGATGGATGAATTTAAAACTAAACATGATGTTTGATGGAAACAAAAAAATATAAATATATTTTTGGGACCTGCATGGCGCCATCCTCCATATGTTGCAAACAGAGCATCAGTAATATACCTATTACTGTTCTGTAGTTTGCATGAGTGAAATTTTTTTATTTTTTATTTTTTGGGAGGTGGGTGGGGACTTTGTGAAAAATAATAGAATAAAAATAATGAGCACACTTCAGTTCTTTTTTGATTTATATGACCAATTTGTTTCCTTGTCAGACTTTAATGTATTCTCTCATTATTTGGAGTGCTGTAATAACAGCATGTGAGTGTGATGCTATTAAGTCTGCCTGCTTCTGTAATCTCCCCAACCCATCCATGAATTTCCACTGGAATTTCACTGATAAGCATCTGAACTCGGAGCAGTCCGACTCCCGACAGTGATGCTCGGTTATTAACAGCGGAGCCAAACCACGGAAAATGTATTCCCCCCTTATTCCCGATTAGATGTAATTATCCAGCTTCTGTCCTGGGACTCCTCCTGCACGAACAAAAGCAGTGAGCATCTTGTCTCCTGTATCATAGTAATTATCAGAGCCTTTACAAAGGCCGCACACTCTGATTATGTAACGCTTCGTCGAGTTTGGAGGGATGGTGGACAGTTTGTTACACCGAGAGTGATGTAATGCAATTATGTGAAATATGCTACAACAGAGGGGGCAGGTTGAAGCGCATCAGAATGAGACAGGTAGCTAAACAAAACAAAAAGAAAAAAGAACATTAATTTGCCTGTTATACCAGATAGAACCTGTATTTAAAAAGATTATATTAGACAATCAGAATGGTCAAAGGTGGCAAAAATAAAAGAAAATCAGTCCTTTTATTCAAAATCATGTTGTTTTTTTTTTGTTGTTTTTTTTCAGGTAAAAATGTATCTGATAAAATCAACAAACTGTTTCATTGTTTACTTGAATACATGAGTCAGTTTAAAGCACTGACTGTGTGTGAGGGACGGAGCCAAACCGCAGGCAGGAGTCAGAATCGAATAGTCCAACTTTCAAAACAAACAGGACAGAAAGAGAGAGAGAAGGGACAGACGTGGACAAGAACCAAGAAATATGCAGACAAAAAAAAAAAAAACAAAGGAGAAAGCTGAAGCCTGAAGACAAGATAATTACAGGGAGAAGGTATCAGGTGAATCTAATTAGGAGCCGAGAGATGTGACTAACGTCCAGTAAAACGCTGGGAAAAGAGAAGCTAATTAAAATACAGTAGTCGTGAGCAAACGCTAATAACTAAAATTATTATGTTTTTTTTTTAAGAATAAGAACGACGACTAAGAATTAGGAGCACCAAAGAGAGCAATTATAAAAAATAAAAAAAACCAAGCATGTTATTTCCAAACTCCAGTCTAACAGTCTGTGGCCATATACGATGTTTTCCCTCCACGTTGATGCAATGCATCATGTGTGAGAATTTAGAAAAGTCTGTGCCAATACGAAGCTAATCCTGCTCTGATTGGTCGGTCCAACAGCCTGTTTGGTGGTTACAGACATTTACAAAAAAATGGGTCCCAAAAAAAAAAAAGAAAATGGCACAATGGTTAAAAATACACACACAAGTAGTATCTGTTGATGAATCAAGTGCAGCAATGAGATGAGTCTCGGAGAAGCACTTCAGATGAGAACTGTCACGGAGCGCCGTGTTTCATCCAAACACAGCAATGTGTTTTCATCAAGGTCAAATCACACCCGCCCGCACGCCGTGGGTGTGTGAGTGAGTGAGAGCTTCTCCCCCGGCAGTATCTGCTGCGTCTTCACTTTATTGCGACTCACAGTCACACACGGAGCCGTTTGGTCCCGAAGAGCAGAATGTTTCGGACTTCCAATACAATCCACAAGCGCAGACTCCATCGGTGTTTGCGAGCATTTTTCCACGCTCACGTCGGCAGTAATAAAGTCTTCCCCGTGTGTGTGTGTGTGTGTGTGTGTGTGTGTTTTTGTTTTTTTTTTGGCAGCCTGTAATAGCAGCTTTGCTCTGGGCTTGGCAGAGGCCCGGAGGGCCCCCCTCTGGGACCTCAAGAGAGTCAGTCGTCCTCTGGCAGAGAGACAGTGGACCACAGCTATGTCTCTGTCTGCTGCCATGACCCAGAAACGCAGCAAATCCAAGGATAAACCCTTCAGTTTTCCACCAACTGCGCTGCAAATAAAATCAACTCAAACACAAAAACAAAACACAACATGCAAGTCAAAGTTGTAGAAGCGTAGTGAGAGACATCAAGACATCTGTCAATTTGTTGCAGTCCTGCGGCAACTCAGAGTACTTTCCGTTTTAAATGGATAGTCCAGATTTCCATTGGTTGGGGTGAGAATGTACAGTCAGAAATTCCCATGCAGTGACCTCAGTTTGGAGAACCGGGAAGGAATTGTCACCGAGGAGCCAAGCTAACGGCAGGGATCATTTCCGAGACAGTTCCAGCCATCTTAAAGCACCACAGACCCTTTAAGCTCATCTCCAAAGAGGTGCGCTGTCCCTTTAATTAACAGAACTAACAGATTTGCAAGATAAAACGCTGATGACTTATTCCAGATCTGGAGCGTACAGGCAGTTTGTAAAAGACACAAAGACAATGACTGACATTATTTGTCCGTCTAATGCACAGCTAAAATTAATCTTAAGCTCCTATAACACTTTGTCTTTATATTCAGATGTTCCCACGAATAACACAAACCCCATTCTCTCTTTTAGAAAAATCTCATTTAAATTTCCAATAAACTCTTGCAGAAACAGATTTTGTCCTTCGGTTTGTTCTTCAGAGGATAATTCAAATGCCTCAGCCATGCTTTCCTCTCCATCATCCTGTCACCTTTGACCCAACTCCCTGCAGAGAGCTGCTGCTGCTGCTCAGAAAAGCTTTCTCTGTTGCTGCAATATGAAGGCTGCACCAGACCGATTTATTTGCTTTTTGCTTTTGTTCCCCGTCAAAACGACACAGAGAAAGCCACATCAACACTGCCTTCTGCATTTGGTTCTGTCAACATAACAGACATTTAGCACCTTGCATGCCGCAAGACTTTAAATATGAAATATGGACCTAAAGTCTTCGTATAAACTCGAACTCACAATCAAACTGCCTGAAACATAAATGGCATCTTCACTTTTTCAGTTACAATAGAGCTGAATAAGGATCTTTAAATACTAGCTTGTAATCTTAAAATTGTTTGTAATGTTTCTAAAATTTTGAGTTTATGATTTAGGGTCAATTAAGGCTAAAGTAAGTAGGGATATTACTATGTGAATTGTGAAGCATTTATTAGAAAGCATTTATGGAAACTGCACAATTGAAAATAATTTCCTCAATTTCACAAAAAAAAACCCTCCTTTTTTTGGCTCTTCCGAAAAAAAGAAGCGTGCCAAAGGAGAGATGGGAACACATCTACCAAGTACGTTCACATGTAGCAAACCTTCCCAATCCAAACCTCCAGCACAGGAGAGGCCAGAAAGAGGAAACTCTTGGCCGCAACGGGAAAGGAAAAACGCTCCCCCCAAAAAATTCATGATTTTACATAGCCTTGCTTGATTTGCTCCAAAGTTTCTTCTGTTTTTTAAAATTTTCTGGACAACTGGATGGAAAAATGGCTGCTGTTCTTACCTTTCTTCCTGTAAAGCTACTGACAAATAAAGGCCACACAAACTAAACTTTGCAACTTTAGTTTGTTTCAACAAATGGAGTAACGAAACAGTTTGTGAATAAAATCCTGACTGGACGACTGAAACACAATACGTGACCTTTTCATTCATCAGAATAGAAGTCAGTCGCTACTTGCTATGGTGATTCCCGCATTAGATGGGGAGAAGAGAGAAGCAATACTCTGTCACTCAGGCAGACAAACTTGTCAAATTGCTCCGCTAAGTTAAAATGATCGTACCAAGCTAATATGCGTTTCTGTAGTTTGCGACTTCAGAACGGAAGGAACAAACGGTTCTGTGATTTATTAGGACTGAAACTGATCAGAAAAAGAGTTCTCTGATTTGTTTTTTTTGTTTTTTTGTATCCTGAACAAGTTTTCCATTTGCACACAGCATATGCCCAGAAAGGCCCTGCAAGGAGCTGATGGTTGATTTACGACTCACAGGCTTCGTTAAAATAAAGTGTTATTTCCCTGTTTTTAAGAAGTAAAACATAACCCTCCAGCCCCATGTTCAAAATGGTACAAAATTTCAGAATCAGATTTCTTGGTGACCACAAATTTAACTGTCTGCACTTTAAGTGGATTATTCGACATAGACACACACACAGAAAGGGACGAAGTAGATCCAATACACAGATTCTGATTGGTGTAAAACTTTTTATGCAAAAAGGGGATTTGTAGATTTCTCAATGTAATGCTGAATCCGTATTTTGCATTTCTTAATTCAATGGAGTTGGGGGATTTATAAGTTTTTTTTGTTTTTTTCATTAAAATGCATAGTGGGTTCTTTTTGTCCTCAGTTCAAATTATTTGCAAGGGATCTTGGACATCTGATTTCTATTTAACTGGCATTTCTGACGGCTACAATCACATTCAACCTGTGCCATTATTAGTGTGTTTGGTGGTGCATAAAGTGGCAGAAGAAGGCCAGTGTAATAACTAATTAATTAAACCCTCTATGGGGGGGTTCATAAACCATGTTCATTCATATGGGATTTTGAGGTCGAGGTTGCAACCTCAAACTCTCCAATTCAGACCTGCAGCTTCAGGCAGTTGTTTACCTGGACACTTTTAGTACTTAGTATATATAGCCCATATATTTAAAAAAATCCTTGAAACTAGACTGGAACTGTGTGATGAGGAAAACAGAAACTAAGTAAAAACTCTGACAGGGCTTCAGAAAGCCTGCAGGATTGTTTTGTTTCTTGTGTGTTTTTTTTTTAGTCACAGGAAGGAAAATATTAGAGAAAACCTGCCAACATAACACTGCGTCGTTCCACGGTAAGCCTTCAAACAGTAAACTCCACTTTGCACACACACACTAACTAAAATCGGATGTGTTTCGCCTCCCCCAGCCCCCCCTCACTCACCCAGGTTGTAGCCGTACGGGGACTCGGACGCTCCGTCCAGCAGGCTCTCCAGGATCTCCCCCTTCCCCACGTCGCTGTCTCCCACCAGGAGGAACTTCAGCAGGAAGTCGTAGGCTCGGATCGGGCTGGTTCTGTGGCTCATCCTCGCGGCTCGCGTCCCATCACGAGCTGTGCTCTTCTCTGCCTCCTCTTCCCCCCCCCGCAGCCCACCAGGAGGAAGAGGAGTAAATAAAAACGCGCGTCGTTGACAAGCGTTTACCTGCGCACCACCACGCCCCCCTCCGTCTGCAGCTGGAACAGCTCGGCGCGCGGTTCCGCTCGGGTCCGGCTCTTCGAGGACTCGGTCCTCGCCTCCCAGCTCGAGAGACAGAGACAGAAAGAGAGAGAGAGTAGGGATGGGTTTCTGCCTGCTTTCATCTGATTGGGCCGACAATTGAGTTGCTAGGGCAACCCCGAATCCCGATTGGAGGAGAGAGACATCAATTAGAGCAGCAGCTGTCTGACCGAGAGACTGGCTGCTTTTGAGACCAAATTAAAATAGTTTCGATCAATTTTTATTCTTCCGTTCTCGTTTGAGGTTTCAAAATTAAAGCATGTTCATTCAAAAATTATTTCTGATTTTATTTTGCTTTTGCTAAAATACAGCAATTTCAGAGGAAAAACAGCCCAGATAAACGCATGAAAACACTTCAGCAATGAAGGATTTATATGTTTTTAATGACAGAACGCGTCTTTATTGTCCTACCATTTGTTTATACTTTTTTTTTCTGAAGATCTTCTCGTTTTAGTTTTTTTAAATTATTTTTTTATGTGAATTTCACATTATTCACCAATCAGCCATGGCAACATGATCATCTGCCTAAAATTGTGCTGGTTCACCCTTTTGAGCCATGTTCTCATGAACAATCCCAGAACTGATAGTTAAACATAAAGAAATATATTTATATGCATTTTTTTTTTTTTACTCATTCTTATGCATACATGGGAAATCCACTTGTGGGTAAAACCAAATAAAAAGCAATAGAAAAACCAAACACAGACAGACGTGGTGCATATGTGCAGATCACGACGTTTATATTTTTCCCCAGAAGGAGTGCGTTGCTGGATGAGTCTGAGGCGGTTGGATGGAAAAACCAGCAGCACTCGGGTGGAACCACAGGAATCACAGGTGTATGTTTCGGGAGGAAGCGCAGATCAGGATTTATTGACCCGCTTCCTGACAGGTGACTGAAAATAAATATTCACGTGAAGCTCCATCTCGACGGCTTTGAGCATCCAGTCCTTCAGCAGCACCAGAAATGTTGCGGAAGTCTGAATTTTTAGCAAGTTTCAAGTTCTGCTGCTTCTTGCTTTTAAGGCATCAAATGGACCGGATGAGAGTCACCGTAACCCATAACTCTTCTTCTTCTTAATATGTGTGCACAGAAAATTAAGTACAATTAAGTACAAAAAACAAAACCTTCACACAAATCTTGGACTGCCTGAATGCAAGGCGCGGTTTTGCCTCAATATGATCACATTCGGATTATCATGGAGGGTCGTCAGAAGGTGGAAGATTATTTGTTCATAGAACGAACATGACGAGACTCTTTCCAGCCTTCAGTTCCTCCGGCGGACGTCTCCGCATTCGGCTCATCTGTAACTGTACCCGGGCAGAGGCAGGGGCTGTCCCTCCTTCGCCTCGAAGAAGGTGTATGACAGCGTGATGGTGTCGACCTGAGCCATCCGCGGGTCGTCGTCGAACTCCGGGTCGATGTAGAAGAAGACCGGCATGTCGACCTCCTCGTGAGGATTGAGACGCTGCTCCTCGAAGCAGAAACACTGCAAGCAACAGACAGAAGGTCCCTGTTCATATGGAGTCATGTGGTTTTGTTTTTGTTTTTAATGGATGGAACCAGATCACAAGTGGAGTTCCTCAAGGCTTTACTCTCCGGTCATTTCAATTCAGCATCTACAATGCTTTAAAATGTACAGATTACAACTACAAACTTGATTGAGTTCTTTTTTTTGTTTACCAAAAGAAGATTTTGGCAAAACAAAATATTGAGTTAGGCCATTATTTTTGTAAGGTGACAATATGATCAATAGAAATTTTACTTCACAAACCAACAAAAAATACTTTCAACATTTTAAAAGTGTGGTATTGTACACATCCTCCCTATACCTGCTGAAGAGAAGTAGTAGCTCAGATGATAAGAGTTTGCAGGGGGAAGCAAAGGGTCTCCTCTCTGCTCTAATCCTCAATCTTTGTTTTATTAAAAAAAAAAAAGTTTCTGCATTCTGCAGAGAGAAAGCAATCTGAAACTCGCCTGGATTTTGTTGAAGTACTGCCCTGCATCAAAGGGCACCACGTTGTAGGTGGAAATGCCGATGATGGGTTTGTCTGTCGGGTTCTTGGCTCTGTAGAAGGCCAGCGCCGTTTCGCCCGGAACCACCTGCGAGGAGAGAAGAGAAAAGTTTAACATGGAGAAGATCGTGTCTTCTCTGACAGAAAGTTCAACGGCACAAGCGGAAAGTCTTACGTAGATCTCCGTCTGCTGCGGTCTGAAGTTCCACTGGATGCTGGCGTGCGTGTCGGCGTTGAAGGTCACCTTGATGATGCGTTCCTTCACCGGTTTCATCGTCTCCACCTGATCCGTGTTGTGTCCGGCAACAGCCGTGCCGCCTAGCCCCGTCGACTGGGAGGAAAGCGGAGAGGTCACACAGGCCCACGGCAACTGTGTGTGTTTCTGTACATGCGTCTCACCTGACAGTAGAGGCGGTACAGAGGTACAGAAGCATAGGACAGCCCGATCATTCCCACCCCGGCAGCAGCAATGTATGTCAGCACCGTCTTGTTCCTGGTCCTCCACTCCTCCTCCTGACCCCTCGATTTTCTACTGTGGTTCCTCGTCGGGAGGCGAGATGTGGGCCGCCGCCGAACCAAGTGTTCACCCTGGGAGAGCAGGGTCCTCTGAGAGATGCCGTGAAGCGCCCGGACGCATCCCGTCAACCGGGGCGAGAGGGACGGACGCAGCAGTAGAGGCAGAAGCATCTCACCTGAGGGGCTCGGCTGCATCTCAAACAGAGCACAATGTACACTGCATTCGGGACCAAAGCCGTGGTCTTTAGAATGAATATTTAGAATGAACAAAAGAATAAAGTCTGAGGAACTGACTCTGACCTTGGAAAAAGTCCAAAAATCTTTTTACAAGTCAAAATGTTGTAATGGGTACAGTTGTGTCTCTCCAGTTGATTTATCTATAATCGCTATTTCTGTCTGTTGTCAACTAATTTGTCTCCCTTTTGCTTTGAAACAGAAGAAAAATTTTCTGCTGAGCTCACAATGATAAAGTCAGAGTTCAAATCAGCTGTTTAATGCCTTTACCTGTCTGAACATACATCTAATCTGACTTGAAGTCAGTGTTTATTCTCCTCACTAAATAATAAAACCTGCAACCAGAACTCAAGGCAAAATACAAAACAAAACATAAGCACTCAGTTTAAACAAATCGTCAGTTCAGTTTAAATAACTAGTTCAGTTGTTTTAGAAGTATATTTACCTGTGAAGAGCAGCTCAGCGATAAACAGGCGGTTATCAAACATTCAGCAGTGCAACACGAAATTGGCTCCTACCGCAAGAAGAGACGTTCCGCAGACGCAGTTCCGCCCGTCTGGCTCATTACTGCCCTCTGTAGGAACGTTATTGTAGTCACAATTTTGTTGAATGGGGAAAGTAAATGATTAAAATATTATAGAAATGAAAAAATACAAATTTAATCCCAGTAGAATAATTAATACAAAAAACAAAAAGAAAGAAACATGTAGGCGTTTAAAAGTAGTATAAAAAGAACAATATTATAATATGACTTACAGAAACAAAGAAAGAAAGGAGGAAATAATCTGCTTAGTACACAAATGACAAATCGACATTTGTCCTCCTAATCCTAAATATTAGGACGACTAATATTAAATCACATAAGTATAAAATGATAAATAATAAAAAAATGAATTCAAGTCAGAAAATAAATTATCCAATTGCATATATAAATCACCAAGACATATTTGACATATTTGCTTTATAAACTTTAAATGGTTGTAGATTAACGTTCATCGATATATTCTAATAAAAACTATCTTTACATTTATTAAAACCTGAATTGCAAACAGACAAGTATAATTAATTTTAAGTAAATACACGAATAAACAAACAAAAAACTAGTTTAATGTTTAATAAATAAATAATAACCTCAAAAATACCCCAGGTGTCAATGTGATTATTATGTGTGTTCAGAAAGTGAGCCGTAAGGAAAGATGGTCAGAGGTTACTGTCGGACATAACAAGGAGCTACGGGGGCCGGTAGAGTCCAGACCGTGCGACAGCAGCAGTGATGGAGGGGGTGACGGTGGGCCAGGTATTCGATGCTGAGTGTATCCTCAGCAAACGGCAGAGAAAGGTAAGAACCGGACTCCACCGTGAGTCCATGGTTCTCTGTGTGTTCTGGTTCCGGTTCTTGTGCTTACCGTGGGTGTCTCTGCAGGGAAAGTTCGAGTATCTGGTGAAGTGGAGAGGCTGGTCTTCCAAGTGAGTAGCTGCGGCTAGCTGCTATCTGCTAACACAAAGACGGTGTTTATATTGCCAGTTGGATTGGTACCGCCCGAACTAGTACTGGCTGTTGACTGCTTTCACAAATATGCCGTTTAAACCGCGGTTCCGGACGTGTTTCACAGCCAAACCAGAACCACTTGCTAACTGCTAACACAGAGAGGTTGTCTAAGCTGCGGGCCAGGAACCCGGTGGTACCTTCCGAACCCATATCAGCTGGATTCTTAGTATTAACTCCAGCCTCAGTCGGACATGTGAACCAGACCAGAACTATGTGGATATATTTCGATCAGAGACCTCTTTAACGAGCACGAAAAAATAAAACAAACAAATAAAACACTTGAAATTAATGTAGATAAAATAATAAAATTGTCAAAACATTAATTGTTTTGGACTTGTAAGAAGAAACTGGTTGGATGTTAGCTTTGAACCAGTAATCAGCCTGCTTTTGCTTTGTGCTGTTGCCTCTTTATTTCTGTTTTTCTAAAATCTTTTAACATTTTGAATTGCAATCTCAGCCGTGTTTATTATTATTATTATTATTATTATTATTATTATTATTATTATTATTATCATATAGAAATGCCCAAATCTAACTTCTCATTAAGATCGGTGGTCTGGAAGCACTATTAATGAGTAAATCCCTTTTATGAAATGTCCGAAAGCTTACACGCTTACATACTTATAACTCTTTAGGCCTTCAGTTGGCTGTAAGCATGCAAAAAAAAAAAAAAAAAAAAAGAACTGAACAGTTTATTTTCTTCAATAATCTACTCTAGACATTGGAATAGCTAATCTGGACATTGTTCTTCATAGCATGTCCAGACATGCCAAAATTAGGTGCTTTGCTTTGATCATTGTAATTTATTAATAATGAGTGCAGATATCTACCACCTTTATTATACAAGGAAGCAAGTTTTTGCAAATATCTTACGAGATACAATTTGTCTAGAGTTGTAAAACCTACATGATGTTTTTTGTTTGTTTGTTTGTTTCATGTACAAACCAGAAAACCTGCTCATCCCAGTGGTTGGGTGCCATGGCAGTCGTTCATTTTGTGGCCCGTCGTGTCTCGGAGTTAAAAAATGTTTTAAAGTCGATAAGAAATTTGAAGATATTATTTGATAATTATGTGCTATTGAAAGATTGGAATATTGATACCTGATCACCAACTATAAAGTTTTAAAAATGCAAACATTTTAAAAAGAAATAAATAAGCAAGAGTGGGGGGCACAAGTAAAGCCTGGTGGCCCGCCAGGCTTATAATACACTGGAGGAAACCCTGAAACTTAATACCATTTACATTTTGATTTGGTATAAACTGTAAAATTGATCAAAATGCCATTTGAGCCAGTTAAAGTTCAGTTTACTGCGAGAGGCTCGAACTGCATGCTCTTTATGCTGGACACACAGTTTGCTGCCGGTTGTTTTTGTTTATAGGAAAACTTTATAAGCATTTGGGAATTTTGTAAACACTAATTGCATGTTTTTATGCCAAATTATTTTTAATCAAGCTGTGTCCTTTGATTTATTTTATTGGCTTTTCCAATGCTGAAGGGGAGGAGGAAGCACTGGATGGAAAATCACCACAGATTTCCTTCCTAGAATGAACTATCTGTGTACAAACTATCTGGAGAGACTGAAGCTGATTACTGATGTTTTTTTTATTTATTTATTTTTTCTTAAGGCACAACAGTTGGGAGCCTGAAGAGAACATTCTGGACCCGAGGTTGCTGGCAGCTTTTCATAAGAGGTGAGAGACGTTTGTTTTATAGCATCCATCGGCTATAAAACAAACAATGTTGTTTTTTTGGTTGTTTTTTTTTTCTTTTCTGAAAAACATTTCAAATAAAAAACAATCTTTCCAATCCCAACAAAATAATTAATCAGAGCTTGCTTTGTTCACAGAGTTTAAGGCCTATTACATTTGGTAGCGCTCCGGCCTGCCAATTCCAGTTTTAACCGATGAGCATTTTTGTTTTTGAACATGGACAGCAGAATCCTGTCTCTCTCCCTCCACCACCTGGATATAATAAAAACGTGACGTCATCTAAATTATGTTCATAGTAAAATAAAATGGTAGGGATTCTCAACGTTAACATGTTTCTGAGCTTTTCAACATAACGGCCCAATAAGTCAGGCTTGGACGACATGCTGTTTGTTTGTGCTTGTGATAATGATACAATTGAGGATTGGGGTGTTTTTAAATAAAGCAGGAAATAATGTCAGCATTGTAGTTGTTTTTGTCATGGTAAATATCGGTAATATAAAAACAATTTCACTGAACATCTACAGTTAACGGGATGTGGATGGGACTACAAAGAAGCTGAATAGAATTGCAGCCTGTCCCTTTTACTCCTTTTTTTTTAATGTAGTTTTTTTGCATGCCTGAAAACATCACATTACAGAGCTACTGTTTTTTGTTCAATTTTAAATAAATAATAGCTGTGGCCAACTTCATATTAAAAAAAAAAAGTTTGTATTGACTGCTGCATTCTAATAGATCATTTATTTATTGAAGAGGATTGCTGTCTGATCGTAGTTACCGTATATAAGGGTCAGATTCTGCTCACCAGTAGATATGTTGTGCACCTCTACCAACAACAAAAGGTTTTAATCTCTTTTTGATACACTGGATTTAGAAGACCTGATCCAATCTTTGTTCCTGCCTGTTTTCCAGGGAACAAGAACGGGAACTTCTGTTTCAGAAGAAAGGAAAACGGCCCAGAGGACGACCCAGAAAAATCCTGGTAACTGAACCACATTGGTTTGTCATGTTTACTCCGCTGTCTCGTCTTTATCTCCGCTCATTCGTCCTCATCTCGTCCTCAGCCTCCACCTGCTGACACCAAGGACAGCCATTCCTCCTCCTCTTCCTTCGGCCTCTCATCCGAGCCCTCCTCTTCCTCCGAGGAGGATGACGACGATCATGTGAAGAAGGCCAAGCAGAGTCCTCGTGTACACCCCGTGCCCCAGAAGCGGCCTCAGATCCTGTTGGCCAAGCCCGATCCGCCACGTAAGAAGAAGCGTGGGAGGAAGCCACTGCACCCGGACCTGAAGGCGCTGCGGCAGGGAAAGAGTCTTCCTTCTCCTCCACGCCACCACCAGCCAATCAGGTCGCCCAGAGATGAGCCGCGGCCCGGTGTGAAGAAGCCCCTGCAGCCAGCCAGCTTCACCTACCCCGGGCTGAGCCGGAGCTCCAGAGAGGAGGGCGCCTCCTCCTTCTCTCAGAGCTCTTCTTCCAAACCCGGATCTCTTAACTGCGTCTGGGCCGGCCGCTCCCTGTCCGCCTCGTCCTCCCACAACAAAGGCAGTCCGTCACAGAAGCCATCTGAACTGCGACGCACCGTCTCCGAAACAGGAAGCGTCAGAGCGGACACCTTTAAAGGATCTGCTCAGAAACCAGCGCCTCTCGGGCTGCACAGCAGCTTCGGAGGACATCCGATAGCGGCACAACGCCCCCCGCTGACCCACAGGAGGCACGACAGCGTGGACGGTCAGTCTGGCTTGGTTCAACACAAACAACAGAACTCTAGTTTCTCCAAACAGTCTCCTTCACTGATGCCCAGAGAGCGGACCAGCCAGGCGCTGAATCTACGAGCGCTCAACTTGCAGAGTGTTGGTAAGCTTCCGGGAAGCGGCAGTTTGCAAGGAGGTTCACGCAGCAGCGGCGTCGGCAAAGGAACCACAGCCGGTGGGCAACGCTCCGGGCCCAGTGCCGCAGAACCTGGACGGAGCAGAATGCAACCCACAGGAGGCAGCAGGCAGGAGGAGCACAAACACGGGTCTAGTTCTCAGAATCGCAACCTGAACGAGCTCAGCACCGGCGATTCGGACGACACCAGCAGCAGTGAGTCGGAACACAACCCGTCATCGTTTCCCGGCGACACGAGGCCGAGCGTCAGCAGCAACGCCGCCGAGTCGGACACGGAAACGGACTGGAGGCCGGCAAGGAGCATCATGGAGCATGTCTTTGTAACTGACGTCACGGCCAACTTCATCACGGTGACTGTGAAGGAGTCGCCAACCAGCGTGGGATTCTTCAACTCCCGGAATCACTAAAAAGAAAGAAAAAGATCCGGAAATCTCGTTTCAGCCCCTGCTAAGGAAGGAACTCTGAATAAGTTCCTTTTTCAAGTCAGACCGCAGTTGGACCCTGATCAGGTTTAACGGAGCAGCTTATGAAGGTTTGTTTGAGGTTGTTGGGTTATCCTTTACAACCGTGCTTGCGATGGTTGAGGGGTTCTCAGTCCATCAATCGGGAAACTAGGAAAACCTGGTCAGGTTCTAGACTTTGGAGGTGTCTGTGCTGCTCTGATATGCTGATATTTTGTTACTGATAGCAGTTCCAGGTGGTGGAGAGGATTGGATAAGTCTGCGGTGTGTTTCCACCCTTAGTTAGGTTTTATCCGTGAAATGCCTCGAAAATGGGTGAGTAAAAGAAGTAATATAATTCTTAATATGCCACCTGGAACTCTATATTGCAATTCTCAGTTCATGTCAGCAAGTGGTGTAGTTTTACAAACCTAAAGCTGGGAAATATTAACCGATTAACTCCAGCCTGTTTTGTTCTTGTATATAAGCTGAAGCTGTAGCATCAGTGAAACTAAATCATGTCCTCACATCAGCTCAGTAGACACTCATCTTCACTGTTGTTTCCCTTTTGTTTTTTTTGGCTTGAGCTGTTATCTTCATGACTGTTTTTATCAGCTTCTAGTCTGTTTCTTTCCAAGAAGCCAAAATCTGTGACCCTGGTCTTCATTGTGGGTTCTTCAGGCTTTCTGCAAGCCTTACAAGGACTGGTACCAGAAGGTTCCTTACATTTCATTAGATGGCCAGTAATCTGTTGTGTGGCTACAAAGGAGACCAGATGCCTATAAAGCTCGACACTGTTTGGTTGTTAGTAGTTCCAGGTCAGTTCGCTCGTTCCCCAGTTCATACCCATATACTTAGTCATTGTCATGTCAGTTCATTGTAGTTAATTATTTA